GCTGAGTGGTTTCAATAATTGCATAGACGAACTCGCGTACGATCGAACATACTTCGATTGGATTAATTCACCAGACAGCAGATTTTAACGAGACTTTCGTTCATTGACTAATAGAATCCTTGGAATCGAAATAAAACAAAAGCAATGCTACATAATGCTACATAAATGTACACATTTAAAACAGAATAACTTTTTTAAAAGTGAATGAAAATCACTTGTATTTGTTTGACATGTCAGAGAATAGTTTAGTAGGCAACGCCTACAATTTTTTTTTTAATTCCAGTTGGTTCTAATGAAAAGAAAATAATAAAACATTTTTTAAATGTTCGTCATAGGCTCAGATAAAAAAGATAAAAACCTGAGCTTTTTATTTTGTATCACTCCTAATAATAGCCACTTAATAAAAAAATATTTTAATCATTGTACAGTAAAATAGCCCCTGCAACAGCAGCAAAAAATTCAAATCATTTATATCAATTTGTAAAAAGTGAATGAAATCACTTGTACTTGTTTCACATGTCAGATAATAGTTTAATAGGCAACGCCTACATTTTTTTTAAATTCCAGTTGGTTCTAATGAAAAGAAAATAGTAAAACATTTCTTAAATGTTCGCCATAGGCTCAGATAAAAAAGATAAAAACCTGAGCTTTTTATTTTTTATCACTCCTAATAATAGCCACTTAATAAAAAAATATTTTAATCATTGTACAGTAAAATAGCCCCTGCAACAGCAGCAAAAAATTCAAATCATTTATATCAATTTGTAAAAAGTTAATCTGTTCTAAAAGATGTCCGGATGTTAGTCGCTGTGCATGTTTTCTTGTACCTTCAAAATTTGTACGAATGACGAAAAATCTAGTTTCTGCAAATAAGCTTGGCGGAACCTTGAAACGCGGATTGAAAATAAAAGCGCGTCGAACATCGACAGTCGTTGGAGTACGGGACGCCGAACAAAGAGCCAACAAGGTGATCCCTCCATCGCAAATGATCGCGACCGCATTCGACAGGACGCTCCCGTATCCATTTGGCCAAGTAGTTTGTGTTTTCCAGTCGGGGATTCCGCGAATGATTGTAACTGCGATATATATTGTCCGGTTTTAATGGACAGCGGCGCGGAACCGAAGCACTTTCAGCCATTAATTCGATGGTCAAAAACGTGTTACTCGGATAAATCGACGGCTGAGTGAACACCGATTAACCGGCGCGCCCGATTTGCCGGTTAACCGCGTCAGCAGCAATTAAAACGCGCCGGTGCAAGCCGGAAGAATGATTTTATACGAGTACCGGGCGACGGTGATTTGCTCGCGTTCGTGGAACGCGGCGGCGCTGCACGTCGTACATACTCGCTAGAATGCTGGCAGTTAACTTTGATGTTTCCCAACCAGGGAGCTCTCGCCTTATTCAAATGCCATTTCCGTGGGAATAAAGCGCGGGATAACGGTGTCAAGCGAATCGACTATCGGAACAGGGAGCTGCTCTTACAATTTTCCCTCATAACGACACGCTCCGAACGACTCGCCGGGGAGCCCGATACAGCTATAGAAAACAAATGGTCGATTGTATCGCGTGATTTTCAAGGAGCGCCACTAGATCTGAAGATGATCTAGACTTAAGGAAAGTGGGATCTATACGTAGATTCCAATTCGAGCGGAGATATTGAAGAGAATTGCGGGCCGTTTCGCTGCGACCAGCTATCTAGAAATTTTCACGCCATGAGAATTCATGCGGCTCTTGTTTCAGCTTTCCTATTTCGTTATTATTCGTAGACCGCGGATTTTTGAGCAGTTTCGTATTTCCACGATTTTAGGGTCTCTCTGATTAGAAGATTCGTTGTAACAAACCTAAGCTAGGGATATTTTTCATGTTTGGTGAATTAAAGGGTTACTAGTATTGCATTAATTTGCATGTGCCGTGTATGCATGAATATCCGCGGTCTGGTTATTCGACTTATTCGGATGTGTTTGTGTGAAAGATTACTTAGATAACTTATTCAGAAATATTACAACTTGTTCTTGTAATAAGAGTCGCTTAAAAGTTTAATAAAGGCTGTCCTCTAACTGCTGTGAAGCTTTGCTAATATTGCCTGCTGTTGTTGAAACAGTAGAAGGATCAATAGAATTGATGAATATTGATACATTATAAATGTAACCCGCCAGCCGCGGACAACGCGGAATTTGTGTTCTAAATATTTTGTAAAATTTAGTAAAAAGAAACTGAATTAAAAGTTTATTCAATATTCATTATACAATTGATATCAAGTGTACTCAATTCTACACTCTTTATATATATATATATATAAGCAAGGAAGATAATTAACACTAGATTTACGGAACCCGACAGAATGATGGGTCGCTAATTTTTTAATTTACGAATATTCATATCATATAGATACATTTATGAGTTATTTATTCAATTCATACGTTGCTTATGGCAAATGTTACAATAACACTTGTTAAAAATCAGAATAAATTTCTTGCCGTTACTTTTATAAATTAATATAAAACAGTTATTTTTTGTGCTCCGCAAATCTAAGGACAAAAATATCGAACGACCGAAACAGAGTTTTAGAGATAACTAGATGGTAGAATCAACTAACATGGTGCAATAATTCTATTTATACGTTTGAAATTTATACGAGTATAAGATATAAATCCTTAAGTGTTCGTATCAAGGATGCTAATAAATTTAATATAATCTAATTTATAATCTACACAGTATATAATCTATATAGTTAATAATGTATAAAATATAAAATCTATATAGTTTAATATCAACAGGGCGTCCAAAAAATCCGGAAATGGCAGGTTCCTCAGGTCATTTGAAGTAACTTTTTCCTTAGCGGAAATGTAATCCGCGGCTTTGTTTACGAGTTATTAAGGAAAAACGTGAACTAATCGGAGAGCGAGTGCAGCCGGCGCTCCGCCCATGCGACCAATGCCGCGTCGCGTCGGCCGTCTGACGCAGCGGCAGTGATCTCTCATTGATCAGTGTTTTCGGTTAATAACTCGTAAACAATGCCGCGGATTGCATTTTCGCTAAGGAAAAAGATACTTCAAATCATCTCAGGAATTCCCCATTTCCGGATTGCGAGACATTTTTGGGACACCTTGTACAAAGTACATAATCTATATAGTTTAAAATTTACAAAGTATATAAAATATATAGTTTATAATGTGTGTGTGTGTATAAAGTACATGATCTATAAAGTGTATAAGATATAGAACCTCTGAAGCTCACCTAAGAATGCAGAAGGTGGCACGCATTCCAGCTGTGTTCTAAGAAAAAGATGCGAAGAAAGAAGAAGCTGCACGTGTGAAGTCCAGCCTCAAGCACAGAAGATAACAAGATAACAAGCTCTCGGACCCACGAATAAGCAGCACTCGAGAACCCGTTATCTTGCCTCTGATATCGAAGAGTTCCCCCGAGAAAGTGATTCGGAGTTTGGCTATCGCGGAACTGTCGCGGGCCACGGGGAAACTTGATCGGAGGCCGCGGAATTGTAACGCGATTACGCGGTGTAACATGATTACACACCGCCGTAACTGTTCCACGAAATTATTCTCCTGTGTGAATCTGCGCCGCAAACGAAGTTAGCACGCGCGAACAATCGGTCGCCGCGCGCGGCGCTCGCTTTTCCTCCGCCGATTTGCAACGTTAATCGATCGCATCGTCAACCGGGAAACTCAATTTGCGCGGGGGAGGATGTGCACACGGTCGGGGGACGAGCGGAAAGGATAGTCGTGGAAACGAGGCTTTGTTTCGGCGCAGCGGATACGCGTTCGCGTCCCGACTCTTTTATCCATAAACCGGCTCCCTACCCCCCTACCCCCGCCCCGTGATCGCTTCCGACTCTAGAAAATTCCACGAACCGAGAAAAAACCGCGGCGGACAGCAAAGGTGAACATTGTTTGATCGAAGTTCTCTGTTAACCCTTTGGACCGAAGTAGTGGCGCTGAGGCACCATTTAAAATGATCGCATTACGGTTTCGTAATAATGTTCGCATTATCAAATTTCTTCATATTTGAGAAAACTGCTGAAAAAACTTGAGAAAACTGCTGCACGAGTCGAAAGACTTACTTTCATTAAATACGTTAATTATGTCATGCATATAATGGAAATATTCTAGGTCAAGAAAACTATTTTGAATTTGGAGTTTAACCCCTTGCCGTACCATTTTCATCACGGATGCATTGATTACAACTTCTTCGATTCTAATCATTTCTTGGAAATGAAGCAAATTTTATATTTACTGCGTGTCTACCGTTGCTTGAACGCTCAAATATTGATGGCAAAAGAACAGAATTTTTTTCCGAATTCAAAGAACGGTAAACAATCATTTTCAGCAGGTTATTACTGGAAATCCCCGTCGCCAGTCGGATTCGTCAGAGTACGACAAAGAGTTAAATGGCTTCGAGTGTAAAGGGTGAACGGCCAAATTCTGATTATATGTGATTCGGATAATTTTGTACGACGTACTAGTTGAGTAGTTGGACTCAAAATTTGATCGAAATTAGTTTGTATTAGTTTGTATTAGAACGAAAGTCCTAACAATGCCATTATTTACTAAATTTGCACAAAAAAATACACGGGATAAAATATTTATATATAAATGAATAAATATTGATATATGTTTTATATGTTTGTTTGTGTTGTTTTATCTGATTTAAATGATCTCGTTCCGAATTGACTGCAATGTCTCTATTTGTCTCATGCAAATATAATCTAATTAAAAACGTCAACAGTTTCTCGTTGGCACACGAATTGACGGCTAATTCATTTTGTATAATAAACTTAAACCCGTAAAATCATTGAAAAGATAATGTAGAACATAATATTTAACGGAAACTAAAGTGCTCAACTAGAAATACTTTGTAAAGAAAAGAGTTGGCATGATTTTTTCGCGATGTATACAAATCATGAATGAACAATATCGCGAGAACTCTTTACTTTTAACGAAGCATTAACGTCGCATGAGTGCATCAAATAAAAGCAGAAACT